ACCGTCCCATTTCACAAGCCTCGCACTTCCGGCCTTAGCGGTCTTTAAGTACTGGCCTTTGAGGATCGTTGAGGCTGCAGACCCTGAATTGGGATACAACCCATGAAGTCATCAGGAAAGGGAGCAGGAAGCTTATTTTCCATACAGTCAGACAGAAGAGTCGCCCCCTGCAGGACAGCAGAAAGAACTGCACAGGTACATTTTAGTGCTAGTGTTAGCTTATATCTGCACCCTGTTGCATAGACGTGGTCACCTCTGGCTCCACCAAAGCAGCGGAAACATGGCACAAACATGTCCTGGTGGCGTGTCCATCCTTTATGGCTAAGCCTCAGGGTCAGGTGACTATAGAAGCCCAGATGTTTACAGCTGCTTTTATGTAACGATCAAACGCGAGGCTCAAAGAGGGAATGTTTTCCAAGCGTCCGGATGGCGAGGCTGAATAAAATCAGAGTTTTATGAAGGATAAAACATGAGATCCGCTTAGTCGTTAAAGAAATCAGGTTAGTTTCACATCCACACCGTTCCAGCGCGCTGTCATCGGCGGACCAGCTCATAAATTGTTTTATTATATTGCGATCGCAGCATTTCAGCGCCCTGCACAGCTGCTGTCACCCACCAAAACCATTTTCATTCCTAGTTAGGAATCACTCCCCAGATTTCAGCCTCACACACACACACACACACACCGAACGCCCACTCAGATGCTATCTCGGCGGCCCTTCACACTAATTCAGATGCACTTAGCGTCGGTTTGGCACACGTGTTTACTGCCACTGGATGATGCACGCCGTAAATACCTATTTGCAGTGAAATTCGATAATGCCAGCACGGTTTTGGTGGCTCCCCCCTGCTGCTACGCTGCACAGAATATCAATGTGTGTGTGTGTGTCTGTGTGTGTGTGTGTCTGTGTGTGTGTCTGTGTGTGTGTGAGGGTGGGGTTGGGCGCCATATGCCTGAAACGCATTCTCCCAAAACTTCAAGGGTAAAACAAAGGGAAGCAATGACGATGTGAACTGTTGTGACAGATGTCTGAGCCCCACCCCCTCCTCCCCCTCCCCCCCTCCCCCATCACCACCTAGATCATAAACACACAAAATGCTTGTTCTGTGTCTCTGTGCATATTCCAACGCTAACCCCGTTTCTCCTCCCTGAAACCTTTTTTGATGCATTTTATTTTTGCACTGATCTCGACGCTGATCGACGCTGCTGCTGTTTCCTGTATGTGAGCTGAATTAAGAGTCTCGCTGCCGTTCGTGACCTGCTTCGTGTGTTTGTGCAGCCCAGGCTAAAATTCATGGATGCAAATCAGAAAACACGTGAAGAACTTCCAAATAAGGACGCGCTAAAAGGATTGTGCTCGGTTTGGATTCTACCAAATAAAGCCGCGAGGACGTCATGCGTGAAATGAAGAGTGAATTACTCCGTTAGCTTCATTAACATTAAGGTTGTGCATCAAAAGTTCAGCCTCTCTGAACTGGACTCTGCTGCTTCCAGCTCCGTGGTTTCATCAGTGAGCAGCTTTGCATGATTCTCTCCTCGTAATAATCCTTCTTTAACCGCCTCACCTCATCCTCTGTCTGAAACTGCTTTAGCTCCTCCCCCTTTAAAGCATTTTATTCTGATTGGCACTCTCTCACAAATAAACAGAAGGTAGGTGTGGCTTCTATGTCTGGGATGACCATGTAAGGGCCATCTCTGTGACGTCATAAAGATCCCGGAGAATAAAAAACAGTCTGAGCTGTGCCTCGCAGCGCTGCTGAACACGTGTTTGTCATGTTTGCACGAACACGCGGCGCTCATCAGAGGGTTCATCTAGGCGCCACTGAGTCCTACACCAGTCTGAAACGTGATTGGCCGACTGCAACATTAATGTTCAAGCTGAGATTTTGTGTTTCTGTGTTTTTTAACAAACATTTGTGGCTTCAGACTAAATTCTGCTGAAACTTTTATAATAATTAATTAATAATAATAATAATTAATAGCAGGAATCCTGCTGAGCCTGTGAAAGCTGATGAAGCCGTTTATTGTTGTCAGTGTAGAAAAATAAAAAACTGTTAAACTTTAACGACCTGTAATAACTTTGTTTTTGAAAAATATCATTTTAGTTTCGATGTCTTGATGCAAACGTCACCAAACATGGTGCACACCATGACTGCGTAACTCTGCAGGTTACTCATATTTTAGATTGAACATATTGTTTTATTATTTTGTAATGGATGAAGCGTACAAACTGTGGGGGGCGGGGCGGCGGAGCACTAACCTTCTTCCAAACGGGACATGAATCAGCGGTTGCCCGGCGATGCCAGGGACTGATTGTATCCGAGCAACCTTGGCCAAGGTCACCTGCTAAATGCAACCTGTCTGCAAACAGTCTCAGTCTGACTGATGGAGGTTCCTCACGGCCTCGTTAATAATCACAGACGGGTCGTCAGCAGCTATGTTCTGGTTTTGTTCTCATATAGAAGCAAAGTTGCTGCGAGTTTGAGGCCTGTGAGCTTCTGGAGTCTGATTGGAAACAGTTGATGTGAGTTTCTGTGGATGTAGCAACAGATTTGTTTCCACTTCATCCAGTCACTGATGACTGAGAGTCTGATTCCTGTTTCATGGATGTGTTAAAGCACCAAACTGCTTCAACGACAACAGGATCAAACGTTTGTTGGTTACAGTCGTTTGTCTCCAGCTGCCGTCCCCTCGTGTCTCCGGTCCAAAGACGACTAAGTCCTGCTTTGAATCACAGTTCTTAACGATGAACGATGAGTTTATGAAAAAAAGGAAAATTCATTAACTTAAACATTTACCGAACGTTCAGTGGACAGTTTTCATTTTGACACAGTTAGTTGGGTTAAATCTGCTCGCTGTGCACAAATAATCCCACATGCAGAGTTTTCTCATCGTTCGAGGTGTTTCCTTAACTAAGCAGTGTGAACGTTTGGAGCAGGGATCAGCGTGACTCAGTGGTCATTCATCTGGGCCTTTAATGCCATTGATCCCAGCTCTAATTGAGACACAGACAGAGAAGGAGTGGGCCTCCAACTAATCCTCAATAAGCAGGCTAACCTTCATTACAGCCGTGACATTTTCCCATGGGGTGCTAAGAGAGAGAAAAAGCCAGACGGAATACGCATGACTCGCCAACATATGGCGAGCTGCAGAGGCGTGCGCGCTTCCCGGGTCCAAGTCTCCCGAGGAAGCTCGAGGGAAGTAAACGACGAGGCTTCCCGGATCCGCTCGTGTTCGGCGGCGACTCGGGCCTCGCTTCAAACCCTCAGAGAGCGTCTGACAGCGTCAGATAGGCTCTGTTAGCATGTGTGCATAAACAAGCCGGACTTTAGTCCACAGCTCATATCTCCTCTGCACGCATGGAAAGGCCAGCCGTCGCTTACCAATCAGTTCACAGGATGTTGGAGGCAGCTGAGAGATTTGGATTTTTAAAGGTGCTTTATGTTGCAGGGCCTCCCGACTGAACCGTGCTGACGTGTGTCGGACTAACATCCTGCTGGAAGCTGCTATCTCCGCCGATGAAGTGAAGCGAAAACCGTGAAGAATAATCCAAAGTCCAAAGTTTTAAATCAAATTCTTGTAGCCACGCAGCAATGTTTGTCCCACCCACGATGCCGCTGGGGCTCGTGTATGTCAGACCTGCACATCCCTCTGAGGCAGGTTTATCCTCTCAACGAGCCGTCATAAATCCCAACACCTCGGAGCGTCCCTGCTTTATTTCCAGATGTCCCTAAATATTCATGCCTGCCTGGCAGGTTTGGGCTGTGACGGAGGCCCTGTTTGGATGTCTCTTTTTATTAAACGTGATTTATTAACACCACACTTACTTTACTGTAGAGCCCCTCAGCTCTAATGGTGTGTTTCTTTACAAACGCCCATAAATGTTTCGACGGGAGAAAAATAAAATGATGAAAAGCGAGGATACCTCGTAAATCTTATTAGTGCAGTAAGGAGGGACCGGCTGAGCGCGTGTTGTTGGTGTGTGTGAGAGCGGGAGATTAAAATGAGACTAAAATGCCCAGTGCTCTTCTGTTTTATCAAAGCTTCTCTGGAACAACGAGCAGCGGCGATGCTATCGCTCCAACATGTGTAATCCACCTCAGACTGGATGAAAAGTCACCTTGTGGGTTTTTATACCTCGTGTCGGCTCTTTCAGGGCGGATGCTGCGGTATCTGCACCTTTCATGGAGACGTAAAAGTCTTTGTTCCTTCGTGTGCTGGCTGTGTGCTCGCATGGCTCGTGTTAATAATTAGATGATTCCCAACAATCACTTCAAATCAGCAGGAGGAGCTTTTAATGGTGCAGACAGGAAGTGCTTTTATTGTGCAGCTCAGTGTTTGGGTTTCAGTGATCCAAGTGAAATATTCTGTCCTGACAGAAGCGCCAATTCGTCAGCTTTCTGAGCCCCTCCTGGATGGATGAACTCCTCACCAGAGATGGGCATGGGGTAATCCGATTACTTTTTTCAAGTAACGAGTAAAGTAAGGGATTACTATTACAAAAACGGTAATTAGATTACCGTTACTTTCCCGTAGGAACGCTGCGTTACTGCGTTACTAAAACCGTGA